TAGAAGCATCTGTGAGTTGTGGGCAGTCACAGTCAGCTGTGTGGGTTTGAGTCTAATGTGGAATTTGACACTTACATCGATCTCCTCATTTGAAGCCTGCTTTTCAATCATTCGTCTAAAGGCTACTCTGCCAACATACGTGTGTGTGTGTGTGTGTGTGTGTGAGTTTATGTTTATAAACGTCTGAGTGGACGTGTGGGATTCCTCTCTCACCTCTACAGCCACTAGTTTGTATTTCTAAATTAGCGTGAACCCAGAATACAGAGCAGAGAAACGAAGGACATTTACAAAAGGCAGAATCGAGAGAATCGGATGAACTGTGCAGCACCCCTGGGCTCTGGTCATAAACAGCCACGTGTCAGAGGACGCTGCATCTTTAGACTATTCATTTGGGCTACAAGGAACCGACACTCAGCAGCCCGCTTGCTGCTGGCTGTCCCCACCCTCCCTCTAATGGTTGCTGCGAAATTGCACCAGGAACCCAGATGACGGCTGAGAACACTAAAGGGCTCAGGGCCGGCTAAGATTCCTCTCTGGCCGCAGTGTGGCACTCGCAGGAGGGGCAGCACCAGAACGCCAGGGAGCGAGGCGCGAACGTGGAGCTGACCAGCCAGCCCTCGGAGGCGCTGACCAGAGACGCCTCACACGTGGGGGATCCTTGCCAACCCCCCGAAATGGGATCTGAGTGAATTTGACTCACTTGCTCTCTAAATTAACCAAGATCTGGGACCATTCCAAAAATGCTTGTCTGAAGACTCTTATTTTATCTTTTTGGCAAAGAATTTTAGGCCACGTAAAAAATATCCTTCAGGTTCCTAAAAAAATTCATGCCAACATATAAAACTCCATACAGGATTGTTTTTCAACATCAGTAATCAAATTGATGAGCGTAAACGCATAAGCCTTGAGCTTCCCTAAAATCTTCTCCAAGCTAGTCCGTATCCTGACAGCAAGGAATCAGTCAACTCTCCCTCGTTCCTGGAACCTGCTGGATTTCTCTAGAATGGAATAGCGGGAAGACAGCTCCCATACTCCTGCATGCGGACTTTATTTTCTGTTTCAAAATCGGAAAGGGAGATAAAAGGGTGAAGGTTGTGTCCAGGCTTGTTTGGTGCTATTTCTTCCAAATCAGGAAACTTTACCTCTCATGCTGGTTTTCAGTGGGAAAGGCTATCTGGGACTAAGAACTGTGTGGAAATTAATTCCATTTTTGTTTCCCAGTAGAGAGATCGTTCAGAAGTAACAGCCTCAGCCCTGCTCAGTTCATACAACTGTAACCCCCTCCCCAGACTCAGGTGAATAGGGGTTTCTGGGTGCAGATATGGGGGTGCTGGGTGCAGACTGGGGTGTTGAGAGCAGATATGGGGGTCCTGGGTCCCTGGTGCTTTCCTGAAGCACTCAGCTTTTATTTGGCTCACCATAAATATTTGCTAGAAGAATTAATGAACCAACGAGGAAACGAATGAAGAGTCAATAATGCAAGTCATTAGTACTGTACCTCAATAACTGCCAGTCCAAACGCTATTCCAATAACCACGAGAATATGTTTTGCAACTAAGTCTTTTATCAAAGAAATGCATGGCTGTTAAGAGAACAAAACATAAAAGGTTATCCTTAATCAAGTTTTTACCTTATTCTAATGAATTTTTTTCCATTGGGTTGACTTTGTACATTGCTCCCTAGGAACACGCTCAGCAAAAAGGAATTCGGTTATTCCCACCACTGCGTGCTCCTCCCCCAAAAAAGTTGTAATTGTTGCAGTTTGTTTATATATTAGAAAGCATTTGAGGAGCAAAATTTTGCTTCAGCTACCTAATTGCTGAATGTAGGGATCTTTAGCTATAAATAAGAATTTTATCCTGACTTGTGGTTGTTCATTTCAGTTAGCACCCTGTGTGTTATGTACGTCTATAATCTGCAGCAGAGAGTTCCCTGGCTGGGTCTCCAGCTAATTGTATCTCAAGTTTTCATTTTTAAAACAAGGTTTTTCTAAAATCCCTTAATAATATTTATCAGGGTTATTTTTACCTTAAAAAGAAAAACACATTATGTCCACGATTATGCCCGTACTTTACAGAGAACTTAGAAAGCTTCCTCTCTGACACAGTTTTTGAAATTTATCCAAACCAGCATGCAATTCCAAGCTTCAAACTTTTCAGACCAGACTTAAAAACTCTAACAATTGTCAATTATTTGAATAATTCAAAAATGGAAAAATACTTCACAGTGTAATAGTGGTATAGTCTATATTGCCAGAAAATAGATCATTCTTATGAGAGTCTTACATGCACAAAGGGTCAACTAAATATTGCTGTTTTGTTCCATAAAATACGAGTTCTCCCCAAGGCTGAGAGCGACAGCTTTCTCCCCCTCACTCCTGAGTGCCGAGTCTCTCCACTCTCATCTGATCCCACGGGGTGGACGTTCCAGGAAATTACGTCAATCTGGTGAAGCGTGAGATTAATGCTCACGTGTACTCAGTCACAGTCAGTATATTTGAGAAGTTTTCTGGCCCCGTCCCCTCCAGATAACCAGGTTATCTTGGCAAAAGGGGGGGGGGGGGGGAAGGAATGTAAATTATGGCCATTCCTGATTTTTAATTTTTCCAGACTTCTTGCAAATGACACAGGGCAAATGGAAGTATTTTATGAATTTATAACCTTCCTTTTGCGATACTGGTGTCTCTATCAGCCTATCTTCAGCTGATCTGTGTGTGAATTTAGAGGGAATTTCTCTTATTTTTTAGGATAATGCTGGGGCTTTTCAAAATCTATCCTGAGGAAAACCTCTTTAAGTTGAATCTTTCACAGGAGGCAGCAATCTGCAGTTGAATTCACCAGTCTCCTCCTCCTCCTGAGTGGAAATCACCTTCATTTGCCCCATATCATTTCCCCTCTTCCTTGTAGAGACTGTGTCTAAAGTTAGGTGGGCAGGAGGGGAGCAGGGAGGAATATGAAAGGTGAGAATAAGACTTTTTAGAGATGTTATTTTGACAGTGAAAACACGCGATAGCTCAGTCGGGAGAAAACTTCCCCGTTGAGTTACTTTAAATGCCAGTAACAGCAACGCCCTCAGGACTCAGTCTCCATAGGATTCTGGTAAAGGACATGACAGTCAGCAGGAGAGAGGATCCCGAGACCCCTCCTGTTTCCTGATACATGATTAACCTCAGCCGCCATTAGTAACCAAAGCAAGAGTGAGAACAGCCTTCAGGAATTACAGAAATTAGTTTACCGAATCCTAGCAGCCTTTGTGGAGCTCTCTCCCAAGGAGACTGTAATCTCCTCGAGGTCCAGAAGCTTGAATGATTCCAGCCAGGGTCTGTCTGACACACAGCTGGCCCTGAAGGATAACGGTGTGGGGGACTGGAATTGGCCGCCCCAAGATACATCTCTTTGGCATGAGGATTATTTTTGGCTGGTTACTTTTAAAAATTGCAGACATGAGAGAAACTCTGAACAGTAATATGTACTTACCCTTTGTTAAGAGACATTTACATTGTAAAGGAAATCTCCATCTGTAAAGGTGTCTCTCTCTCTGCACCAGGAAGAAGGGGGATGACCTTATCTCTAGAAATTCTCATCAGTGTGGAAGGCAAGGACTTAAATCTGCATAATAACCTGACTCTCGTTTACTGTACTTGTCTGGTAACCTCTCGTAACTGACTCCCCCCACCCCAACATCCTCCTTTGCAGCTGAAGAGGGTATTTAAGGTGGGGGCTTCAGCCATTTTGGCGAGTTGCCCAGGTTGCCTGAGCCTCTCCCATGTATACATGTTATAAAGCTTTGTTTAATTTTCTCCTGTTGTTCTCTCTCATGGGAATTTAATTCCTTCTCCAGCCAGAAGGACCCAGAGTGGGTAGAGGAGATGTCTTCCTCCCCTACCACGGCAAGTAACGGGACATGGAGATCAGTGTCTGTTTGGTAAACACTCCTTCCGGCAGAAGGAGCAAATGTGTGGAGCCCTGTGCTGAGGACCAGCTGTCAGGTCCTCCAGGAAGCCATACCTCGAAGCCGGGACACTGCATTAGATGGTCCCCTACCTCCTTGTGCCCCCCCTTTCCAAGAAACACCCAGGCTTCATTGGACCAAAGTTGCCTGATTATCTTTCTCTCCTTCCTGTTTACACTTCAGCCCTGTGCATGCAGGCGTCGCGCCGTCCAGAAATGGACTGCCAGTGGCTGCAGGAGGCCTGGTGTGTGGGAGGTGGTCAGTCCATATTTGATGAATTAACAATAATAAGAAATACGACTACGACCTCCACAAGTGACATAAGTATGGCATCTCCAGCACGTACAAGATAATCCCAGCTCTTCTACCTGACTTTAAACGTCTGGGTTCGCGCCGTCTCAACCGCAGCAATAATTTGGTAGATTGGTAGGTACACATAACATCCAGAGCCCAAACCCCCAGGCCAAGTACTTTCCTCCCACCCATACAGTTACCTGAAAAAAGGGGACTTCTCACAAAAAAAAGAAAACTTTGCTGTGACAATATAGATTTCTAGAACTTAAGTTACAATAGGAAAAATAGAAGATAATAATGACTAAAGTCACCAGAGAGAGGCCAAAATAAGCTTTCATCTGCTAGTTTGTCCTTTGCTCCCCCTGAGGTGGAATGTTTCTTTGATCTGTTACCATTGAGTTTAAATGATGCGAGACTCACAGAAGAAATGAAATGCTTCCTTTTTCTATATCTGCTTTTATCTTTAAATAAAGATTTCTTTTTTATTTCGGAAATTCCTGGGACTTTATGTCATGATTCCCGTTGGAAGTGCTGCAATCTAATTTTTTGTAGAGACTTTCAGTGTGAAAAGTTAACAGAACTACTTACTGTGGCAAATTTGACTTAGTTCTCACCTGTTTGTAAACGCTTTTATTATCATAAGTTGTACAAGATGAACCTGATGTGTCTGTACATTCACAGGACTTGTAATGTTGTTGAAAATTACTTCCCCAGTCAGCAGCGCCATTGACCAATCCACAGCATTTAAACTGTTTGATGAAAAGTAGATATGAAAAGGTATCACTAAAGAAGATAAAAACATTGTCAACACATTCACTCATATTCTTCTGAAACCACTATTAAGAAGTTTTTATACTAAAATATCGTGTAAATCTTTTCACCCACCTCTCTGAAGGTAGAAGCAAAAATGAAGGAATCGTCCATTTTGTTCTTAATATTGATGAAGGAAAATAGGGTTGCAGATGCAAAAGTGTGAGGAACTTGGCGAGAAGATAAAAAACTTACCTGCCAGTTTTTAATGACAAAAGAGAGGGCAGAATCCAATCTACGTATCCTAGATCCTAGGAAAGAAGCTTCCAAAGAGTTCATGACACAGAGTCATGGTCTCTTCGAAGAACTTTTGCTCAAAAGAGATGAGAGGCTTAAAAAATGAAAATTCCATCTCATGATCTTTGATGACTTTTGGAAGAGACGGAGAAGAGGGTTCGAGGCATCTCAGGGGCAAAGAAGATGCTTAGTGGGCCCCCGTGAGATTGACTTTTACCTGGACAGCTGCAAAATGGGGGAAGGGGTGCAAATGAGGATGAAACTCTTGAATAACGTCAGGAAGGGGCCAGAATAAACGGAAATATGGGGAAACACTACAGGAACTTGTGGTCATGTTTGGGGAAGAAAAACAAGGAAGTGTTAAGACCAGCGACTCAGGGTAGATGGCACGTAATATTATTAGACGAAAGAGAGAAGCAGTTATGCCTCATCATGTCCTATTTTCTCCATTAGGGAGAAAACTCGTCATGCAGAAGGGTAGGAAAAAAATTGCTGATGAGAATAGAACCAAGACGGGGTGGTTTTCCAGCCTCAGACGCATTCGCATGCCAGGACAGCAAAAGGACCTCCCCATACTGGCTGGGTGACCGTGTTACCCACATCACCGAAACCTCTCTGTGCCACCGTTTCTTCATCTGTAAGACACAGATAATAGTAGTTGCTAATGATAGGCTCTAACTCGTAGATTTGCTGTAAAGATAAAAATGAGAAAACCCATGTGAAGCTATGCGGTGCTCACCCGGCACCTGGCTTGCAGAAAGCGCTCACTACAAGTCAGCTGTTACGTTGTTGCTTTTGTTTTGTGGCAGTTCTCGTTTCCATTGTGCTCTCACGTGAACGTGGTCTGTTCAACGTGGACATCAATGATTTAGATAAAGATGTGAAACTCTCATCAGCTCTGCAGTTGCTATGGAGGTGGGAGTGGTGACCGATATACTGGAGAACAGAATCGACTTCCAGAGACAGTTCACACATGGACTCAAACCAACGAGTTCAACTGAGGTGGACATAAAGTCTTGCACTTTGGCTGGGAGACTTAATTGCACAAACATATGACTCACTAGACATTCATAGGACACACAGCTGGAAGTTTCCGCTGGTCCCAAGGTCAATCAATATTAGCAAAGAGGGAAATCTTGAAACAACTACTTTCCTTTCCACGGTAAGCATGACTAATTGCTCTCTCTTTCTGATTAAATAATCTTGAATAGTATTGATGCAGACACTCCAGACCAGAAAGAACATAAGTCCCACTCTATGCACGCACAGATCAGTCCACACTGGAGTGCAATATAGCTTGGGGTTCCTTCGGGAAGCACAGACATCCTTACAGAGACGGAGTGGGAGGCAAAGGGGCTAAACGTGGCCTGATACCTGTCACCAGGTGAGAAGTGGGAGCAGCTGGGGAGGAGGCTGGTCAGGACTGCTGAAAGTGTTATATCAGCAGATGAACAAGGCTCAGAGCAGTGACCTCTGGACAAATAGTCACCCCGCGAATTCCAGAGGGGCACACTCTGAGAGAAAGCCACGTAGTATCTACAAGCTCTGTCCGTGTGGGGTGGGCCCCCGGTCACCCAGCCAGGGTCCGAGGTAGGAGTCTTTCTCCAAAGACACATGACTAAAAAAACAAAGCCCTGGTGGATAAGAAAAGAAACGACTCAGAACTGACCATAAAAAAGGCCTATAGTCCTAGGAACACAGAGAGCTTCAGACACAGGATTTGTGTGTGAGAACGGAAGGAATTAGGACTTGTGCTACGACCACAGAACATGTAGACCCTGTGGTCGGCATCGAGACCTGGGAAACAGGGACAACACGCAGCAAGTGTGACTCAGGACCCAGGCCAGAGACCCAGTGGTCACCTGTCGTGTGCTTGGTCCCTGGTGGGGAGGACCCAGGATGCTCAGTCCCCCAGCAGAGGAAGTGAGCTGTGTAAATTCCTCCTGCGTTAAACCTGGGTTAATCTGGGCTCTAGAGGGGGGAATGACTGTGGAGGGGAGGGTCAGAGGCTGCCGCTGTCGGGGGCTGGGGCAGCACAACCCGGGCAGTAACACGGGGACTGATGTACTGGGCTTCCACTCTTGGAAACGACACTTTAAGCAGAAATGTTACAAGCGGGAGTCTATCCAAATGGGAACTGGGGAACGCTCTGGTAAAAATGTCGTCTGATCAATAGCTCAAGAAACCAAGGATGCTTCCACTTGAAAAACAAAGCTTTTATCAGTCACATGGTAGCCATTTTCAAAGAAAAAGTTGGAATGTGCAGAAGCATCAGTAGATTTTCTTTTTCCTCGGAAACTCCAGAAAGAAGAAGTAGGACTAAATGATGCGCATTCTTGGGAGGCAGATTTTGTTTCAAACTAGGAAAGAACACACTGATCATCAGACTTGGGTATAAATGGGATGGGGTGGGCAAAGATTGGTAAACTTTCAGCTCTTCAGTATTTAGTCAGAGGGTGGATGCACATGAAGGTAAAATACTTCAATCAACGAGAAGTCTGGTTAAACGTCGTGAAACCCAGCTCTCCTCTAGGATTCTGGGAATTTCTATGACACATGTGGAATGAACGCTCCATGCAGTCACTGTGATGGGAATTCCGAGCTGAGAAGGTGTGGTGGGGAGGAGTTTCACAGTGAGTAATATCTGAGGCAAGCTTCAAAGAATGTGATGTATTTGGAGAGAGAGAGACAAGTAGTAAGTACACTGCAAGGGCGGGGATGGTGCAGAGACAGGAAGGCAGACTTGCTAAGGGCCCCTGGCCTGCCCGGCATGCTCCTTGGGGAGCAGTCTTCAGCAGGGCTCAGAGACGGGGCAGGAGCCAGACAGGGTACACCTCCAATGCCTCCCAAGGTTTTACTTTACCCAAAAGAGAGCGAAGCAGCCAAAATAAACAAATGAATAAATAAATAAGGGAGGAGTGAGAGTACTGATTAGAAAGAATTAACTAGTCAGACAGATCTGGGTTCAGATTCCAACCCCGTCACTTGTTGGCTGTCAGACTTCTCTAAGCCCTAATTTCATCTGTCAAATAGGGACAATGAGATGAGCTGCGTTACCATCTCGCAGAGTTGTGGCGAGAATTTGGTGAACTCTGAGCGTGAAGCCTGGCGCGTGGTGAGTGGCAGGCCTGTCAGCTCTAATTATTTCACAAGAGGGGGGCAGGCAGGCAGCCAGAGGGAGAGACAGAGACTCCTCAAACACCCCCTCCTTCGAAACGGCAAATAGTAAAGCAACTATTGATTTGGCCCAGTCGAGTAATCTGTCCTAAACATATTTTCTTAATCTCTGTCATTCTAAACTGCTTCAGAACTTTGAAGTAAGCTGGAAAAGAATTAGAAATATTCTTGGATTTTTCTTATTGCATGGTGACGGAATAATCAGTCAAAATCTGCAAAATGGACACATCTTTCAACCTTTAAAGAATACACCTGTTAAAAATTAAGTCAACACAGAAGCGCTATGTCCAACTCCCCAAATGACCACAGTTCTAATTACCTCTTCCTGAAATTCACTCAGAGCTTCCTGGAAGGATTTCCCACTTTCATCTGCTGTGCTCAGAAGCTTCACGTTATCATAGAGGGTCTCATTCAGAATGCGCTGAGTCTGGAAATTGAAAAGTATTGTGAAATTATTCATGCCAGAAGGTAGCATTTCCAAAGTTGTCAAATGTCATGTGTGTACACACCTGAGACTTGAAAGCGGCCCCCAGGATGCCGGCTGCCACCTGGAGAAGCAGGATCAGAAGCAGGCCTATGAAGAACTGAGAGGAGAAGGGGCGTCTGTTTTACATTCCTGTGTGATCAGCAACGTCCAGGGACATTCGGGCAGGAGCTTCTCTCGGCAGTGGGGACCCAGTCACAGCTGGGCTGTTAACCACACTCTTCATTTATCCCACCCTTTGCCTCAAGAAGCAAATTTTGGGGCATCACTACTAAGAAATATTTGCTGCAAAGACTGATGAAGGAAAGTGATTAAAACGAGGATTTATTGCTGGGACTGTGGGCATTGGTGTGATGCTGAATGGAGGGAAGTTTGAACACTCAGATAACATTTCTCGAATATTATCTTTCTCCTTCTCCTTCTTCATCAAACATCAAAACAGCAACAGAACCGACTTCAAAACAACGTTCTAGAATCGCCTGGGGTCTTATCAATGTGGATTCCTGAAACCTGCCTCAGATCCGCTGAATCTAAGTTTGGAGAATATGGCCCACAAATTAGTTTTTTTTAACACAAGCTCCTCAAGTAATTAAATTCCCCAAGTTGCAGACGAGGCCTTGTCACTCAAGAAGCAGCCACCAGAGATGCTATTACAGTCCCGTTAAGACCATCTCCACCTCCCTGTCGTAAAGGGACAGTTAGAAATAGCTTCCCGGGGACTGACACCACTGAGTTCATCAGAGAAACGAGCTTAGACGAACTCTGACAAATCCTTATGTCTGCTTTATAGCTAATAAATACTTGAGGATTTATTCTCCTAATATTTCTCTATATCCACTGTTATTTTCTAATATATATGTTAAAAGTGAGTGTCTGTGGGCTGTCCGGACCCGATCCGCCCTCCGTGGAGCTTCCTCAGTGACAGATCCGATTGTCTTGCTCCCTTACAGTTTCCTTAGCCTGGAGCAGGATTTGACCGCAGTCCACACTCCGATCCATCTCACGTCATTTCCGGAAGGTGGCCCCTGCCACCCTCTAGCCACACCCAAGGCCTCGAGTTCCCTGGACCCGCCAGCCTTGTCCTGCAGGAAGCTCGTCACAGCCTCACCCAGAGCAACACCGTATTCACTGCTGCTTCTGGCTTGAAAGTGCCCTCCTCTCTCTTCTCCGGCCGCCCGGCCGTAGCTGACTGTTTCCTTGTCTGTCTTCCCTCCTGGTTCTAAGTGTGTTAATGCCTACGTGTCGTTAGCACAACATCGGGCGCAGAGCAGGTATTCGGAAAGAGCGAATGAGTGAATGAATGAATGAATGACTAAACTTCGTCTTCTCTCAGGGTGTCCTCTAATCTAACTAAACACATTAGCTTCCACCATCAAACCGTCTGGACAGAAGTCAGAGTCGAGCCCCACCAGCCTGGGTGAGCCCCGTAGACAGAGGACGGGGCGGGAGGGGACCCCCAGGACCCTGCGGGCGGGCGCGGGGGTTTGTCTGGAGAGCTCACCAGGAGGAGCATGCAGCGGCTCTCCTTCATGGCGCCACAGCAGCCCAGGAAGCCCAGAACCATGATGACGGCGCCCACCGCGATCAAGATGTTCACAGCCACGTAGGGGTTAGCGTCAGAGTCCCCAGAGGTGAGGACCTGGAAATGAAAGAGCGGTTAGTGACAGCACATGCCTTTCCCGGGGTTTGCCACTCCACAAATGCCCGGCGGGTCCCGCTCTGCCCAGGCCCTGCTCCCGGACCTGGAGAAGCTCCGTGACCGGAGCAAGCAGAGCCCCGCCCTCAAGGAGCTCCAGTTCCACTGAGGCCTCGCTTGTCTGAGGATGCGGCCAGCGTCTGATCTTCCTAAGCTGACAATTTGGATGTTGGAGGGAAGAAACGCAATAGGCTTTTAAAACACCAATTATTTAAAAAGCGTAGAAGGACAGGTACTTTCACCCATGAAAGTTTGCATATTTTGTGTTTTTTACCTAAGAGTGGCATTGTAAAGTATGTATTTTTGTGGCAATTTAATTATTTAAATTATAAAGCCAAGTTCCTCAAACTAATGGTAGACCCAACAATATGAATGAATCTCTAAAACACCGTGTCCAGCCAAACAAGCCGTATTTAAAAGGTGATGGGTCTATGACTCCATTTCTACGATGCTCGAGAACAAGCAAATCTAAGCCATCGCAGCAGGAATCATCGCAGACGCTGAGCAGTGGAGGAAGGAAAGAAGGGCTCGACCGCAAGGGAAAATGAGGCAGTTTTATGGGTTAATAAAAACGCTTTGTGTGTTGACTGTAATAGTGATTACACAGGTCTGTGCGTCTGCCAAAACAAACAAAAAAATTTAAACTAAGAAAATAAGTCTAGTTCCTGATATTCCGAATCAATTCTCTCTCCTTGTTTCCGGAAGGAATAGTCCACAGGGTTTTCCAGAAACTCTTTACTTTGCCTGACTGTGAAGTAATGGATGTTGGGGGAAGACCCCAGGGCCCTGTGATGGGTGGGCTACCCACATTCTTCCCCCCACACATTCTCGTCTTCGTCAGAACACCCAGCCCCAGGCGACCACTCGTCCTCAGAGGCGTCCAGGAGTAAATCACAACCGGAAAGTGGAACCAGGTATGCAGACATGAGGGCTGGCAGGAGCCCATCCTCCCCTGTGGCCTCTGTCTGGGGGCTCTCCCCAGGTTGACCACCAGTTCCCAGACTGGCTCAGAGACCCCACCACCTGGAACCTGCTGCACAGCATGTAAGTCAGCTCCTTGACGGGAAATAAACACTACTACGCGTGATCTTTACGTTTTCAGAGACTTTTAAAATCAGCTCATAACCTAGAGAAAACCTTCAGGGGACAATCAGTAGGAAAGAATGTGCTAACGTTGTAAAGGCATTAAAACAAAGATCTATATTCAAGTCGCGTCCTTAGACACAGCAAGTTTCCAGCCCTGGCCAGTCAGCTAAGCCGGCTGGGCCGCGTCCCATTCATAAAGGGAACTGGGTCAGCCACCAAAGCCTCCTTTGTCTCTGAGAGTCCACGCTTACAGAGAATGTTTCAATTTGCATATTTAGAGAGCTCGGTTACGTCCTCGAGATTTTTGTTTGTTTTTCAGCTTTTTGTTGTCTGTCAAGATCAGAGCTAAGGAGTCAGTTTTGTTAATAAACAGGCGTGGCATCTGGGTCAAAACAGATCACGATGAAAAAGCAGCATCAGGAAACTGGCTCGACCCACACATCTGCTTCCCCGGCACGTTGTGGCGGTGCAGGCAGACCCCTCAGGCGTCCGGGAAGGCGGCCTCGCTGGCTGAGGTGTCAGGACTCCAGTCACAAGCCCAGATGCAGACAGAGCAGGTCAAGCGTCTGCGCGAGAGGCCAGGCTGGTGCGGCTGGCCCTCGTTCAGCAAGTGACGAAGCACCTCTGAGACTGATGTGGGCACAGACCCACCGCAACTGGCGGAAGGCAGTGTGCCGGGTGCCCGGGGGTCCCTGTCTCGCTACAGCCCACGCAGGGGCTGTTGTCACCCAGGGAAGGAGAGGAAATCTGAGCCCGGCGTTCGCTCCCGGAGAGGGGCGGCAGCGTGCTCCAAGCAGTCTCGGATGCCTGGTGTCTGTGTCCGTCTTGGCACAGGGAGAAATCCCAAAGGCAGAGGAGCGGCTGAGCCTGGGAGCAGAGGCTCAGGTCCCCTGCAGACCGTGAGGGGTCTCCTGGGACAGGACGAGGTGCTTGGCCTCCGTGCTGAGTTTATCGTGAGGGAGAAAGCGTCCCTCGGAGACACAGCACAGAGAGGCCGAAGATGTGCACAGAGCATCCCGGCAGCCTTCTTCCCTGTGTTTGTGCTCCTGCTGCCGCTCCTAAAGCTGCTGCCTGTTTTCCACCAGAAAAATCCAGCTCTCTGATCCTTTGTCACTGACTTCGGATAAGCATAAACCAGGCCAGTTTCACGTACATCAGACCGGTTACTGTCATCCTGGCAGAGCTGCCTTTTGTCCAGGGTTAGAGGCCGACAGAGTAACCAGTGATGCTGCCCAGCCCTGTTAGTGCATCCTCCGCCCAGATGTGGAGTGACAGACTCGCAAGACAGCCCTGCTCCTTTAATCCATTCAATGTGTGTAGTTTCTTAACAGACTAAACACCAAAGTTGTTTACAGGAGCACTGTGGGGAAGGGTAATGTTCCCATATCAACCAGAAAGGAGAGAATGAAGCAAAACACAGGCTGCACACACCTTAGAAGGGCCAGGACATCCTCTAAGCACGTGGCTGCGAATCTCGGTGCTTGATTTTCATTCCCAACATCAGATGTCAGTCTCCGGACAACAGAGACTCTGCTCATCTTCGAAGACCCTTCTCAGCTCAAACCCAGAGCCCACGGCCACCAGGGAGCCCCAGTCATATTTATCAGCCTCCACCAGGAAACAACGTCCAACGGAAAGGGTGTTATCAGCCGGCACCACACCTGCCCCCGATCCCCACCTGGTGAGGCCCAGCCCCCAGAACAGCACCCTGCCTCTGCCACCCCTGGGTGCCCTGACAGTTGAGATCAAACTTTAAAAGAACGAGAGAGAGAGAAAGAGGAGGAAGGAAGGGAGGAAGGAAGGAAGAGAGAGAGAGAAACAGAAAGCTACCCAGTTGTGGAAGGACTCAGAAGAGAGTTCATTTGCTCTTACTCTTTCTTACTCTTTCCTTTAACTAGGCTGTCTCCAAAGGCATTTAGCCACATTGTGGTATAATAAGTTTTTATAGAAAATGCATTACCTTAATTGCTGGCTTAATGTATCTTAATAATTATCAAATAGGAATCAAAATCCTCTTGGAGAGGGAAAGTTTATTTGGGCAAAGACCTTGAAATGGCTCTAGTACAAGATGTGACCCTGAATAGTGGAGAGAGCCCAGACAACAGAGGAGAAAGCAAGAAGAAGAACTGGGGAGAGAGATTCCTGAGAAGAAGGAGGAAGCGGATGGAAGCCATGGAGGCAGGAGATGGGGTGGGAAAGCCAATGAAACGGCCCCCCAGCCTCACCCTTTCTTCCCACGTCTGCACGCCTACGTCGGTGACACCGCAGTGCGGGACAGAAACAGCAAATGAGGAATCCAAAGGCTGGAGCTGGAATAAACTGCGTGAACTAACCTTCCTCCAGACCCGTGGAAACCCTGGTAAGAGCTCTGCACGGGGCATGGAAGGGCGGGTGGTGGGGACGGGGTCTTTTCTTGACAGCAGGAAGCTGGACATCCCCAGCCAACTGCTGAGCTGCAGTCGTGTGAGCAGCCATCTGCCGTCACAAGGGGCCGCCGTCAATGCCGGGGGCCGCAGGGAATCCACCACCTTCGGACTTTGTTGCCTTTACAACACAGACTCGGATTCTTTGTCTTCAAGAGAACTTCTCACCTTCCTTCCTTCTGGACCACCCCCCGCCCCGCCCCGCCCCAATCAGCCGGACTATTGTCCACACACAAGTTGTTCTTGGTGGGGTGGAGGGTGGGCTCTGTCGTCCAGCTACACGTCGGGCTGGTCTCACACAAGGAACGCAGGAGGAGGCTGGTTGCCACTGGTCGGTTCCCCCTCCACTTCCATTGCATCTCCTGTTTGGGGAATAACACCCCCTCCATTCTTCAGAAGGATCCTTCCATGCCTGGCACAGTGCCAGGCCCATCATGAGTGATTTCGATGAATCAAATTGAATTAAATTATAAAATCACATGTTGGCACAAATGATTACATGAGGCAGTTAAAGAAAATGCTATAAAAATATTTATTACTATTATCGTCATCACTATGAGAGAAATAAACTGCTCTGGAAGCAGAGAAACTTGTATTTACTTATTTACCTCTTGACCATCTTTGCTGACTCGTATCCAGATTGCTACTGCCAGGATCAAGATACCACACAGCTGCAGGAAAAAACAAAAATGTTAGCCTCCCAGGAAGATAAACTGCAGCTCTCATTCCACACCTCCCTAACCCGCTGGTTACAAGGTTTATCATCATATGCATTAAATGAGGCACATCCACGTGCAGATAATTGCCAAAATGTTCCACCGTCATTGGATAATTGATTTCCCATCTACAGTCCACTCACAGGTCCCGGAGGGGGGTCGTCTCCCCTGGGGAGGAAGGATGCTTTTCCATGTTTCAACCCTAACTCTGTGTTTGCTAGATTGTAACCTACGAAAGACAGTGACGACAGTCTACAGACAAAATATCCTCACTATGCCCCTGGTTGGTCTCTGAGAAGCTGGCTTAGACCAAAAAGGAAGGGAATAACTGACTGATCACCAAAGATTCCTTCAAGATCCAAGGAGGAGGAGGTTGGGACAGACGAGGAGCAGAAGAGCATCTGACAAAGTCTGCAGACGAGCAACGAGGGTTTGCAACTTTCTGTTCCCAAACAAACTCTTTCAAAATTAAGCTCTGTTCGGTAGTCAAGCTTGCCCAGAAAGCAGGAGCAATGTGGAGGAGGACTTCGGGTCTTAAATTCTTTAATGAGTTTACCAGATTATTTAATTTGGACCAAAGCCAACACATAAAATGGGAAACACATTTTACTTTCGTGTAAGGAAAACCCCTGTCTTTCGGGTTTGGGTTTTTTTTGTTTAAGATTTATATGTTGTGGCCTCAAAAGAAAAATCAAAGCTCTATTATTAGGTGGAGACGTTGAGAACAAGCTTGGTCACATACCAAACACAGCAGGCCCTGGAGGACTTTCCAGACCATTCCGGCCCTCGGCGCTCTGACAGAGCAAAGCGGAGTCCTCCAAACCAGGGCCCTGGCGCGTGACCGTCTCAGGCGGGGCTGGGCCCTGCGCCCGGGATCCCCAAACAGCAGTTTCACTTTTAATGGCTTCTCGCGAGCTGCTGTGGACACGGAGCCAAGGGCTTTGACAGGGAGCAGGGAGCCGTGGAACCACCAGGGAATCTGCGCTCCCGCAAAGATCCCAGAGTTGTCTGGTGCCAACCCGCCTTCGCAGACGAGACTAGACCCCTGAGAGACGACCCCGAGTGGTGAGAACCCAGCGCCCCCAGCCCGTCCTGCCCGCTGTGCGCTTCACTGGGACCGGACGACGAGTCGCCGGCACCTGCAGTTTGATGGTCTCTCGGGTGTGCACATGCAGAAGGCAGACCATCGAAAGCACAGCTCGAAGCCTGGACACCCTCCTTACGTCTTCCCCTCCTTCTGCTGAATCCTGATCTCGTTTGCAGAGGGAGATAAATGCTCCTTTTTATGGTTCCTCGTCAATAAATGAGTCTGTAAGAATGTGTGTCAAATGCTAATGAGACCATCTGCGATTTTCAATAATTTTATGGCAGCTGGATTTTGTGTTTATTTCATTTGTTCCCTGATATTTTCTTTCTCTTTTTCTTCTCCTTTAACAAGTAGATTTACACTAATTCTCTTAATAATCACTCTGGCCTTTTGCTTTAACTGGAAATAATAATTATCTGAACAGCTATTATAACGACCACACATCTTAGGAAGCTATCAGGGAGAAACCTGCATGACCCTTGGAGACTGAGTGGGATATTTTTTAAACCCTTCACTTTTTTGTTTGTTTCTGTGTGACTTCTTAGTTCACTTTTCAATGTATTTGGACATCAAATCATTCAGAAATCTTACAAAATCACCCATATTTGCGCCTCAAATGACGACTTCAGTCTTCTCAGCCTCTGAAAATTATCTGTAACATTAACACTTAAAAGAAGGAGCATCAGGGGCCGGCCTGGAGGCACAGTGGTTAAGTTTGCACACTCCACTTTGGCAGCCTGGAGTTTGCGGGTTCGGATCCTGGGTGTTGACTTAGCACCACTCATCAAGCCCTGCTGAGGTGGCATCCCACATATAAAATAGAGGAAGACTGGCACAGATATTAGGTCAGCGACAATCTTCCTCAAGCAAAAAGAGGAAGACTGGCAGCAGATGTTAGCTCAGAGCAAATCTTCTTCACCAAAAAAAATAAATAAATAAATAAAGCATCAAGACAACAACAAGATACCATTACACCCTGATGAGAATGTCCGAAACCTGGAACACTGACACCGCCAAGTGCTGGCGAGGATGGGGAGCAATAGGAACTCTCACTCACTGCTGGTGGGGATGCAAAATGGTGCAGCCACCTTGGAAGACAGTTTGGTGGTTTCTTACAGAACTAAACATCCTCTTAACGTACAATCCAAAGGAGCTGAAAACACACCCACACAAAAACCTCACATGATGTTTATAGCAGCTTATCCATGATTCACAGAGCTGGAGCAACCAGGACGTCCTTCAGCAGGTGAGTGGACAGTCTGTGGTCCATCCAGACATTGGAATATTATTCAGTGTTAAAAAGAAATGAGCTATCAAGCCATGAAGAGACAAGGATGAACCCTAAATGCACGTGACTCAGTGAAAGGAGCCAGTCTGCGAAGGCTCCATACTGTGGATTCCAACTGTGCGGCATTGTGGAACAGACAGAACTACGGAGACAGTAAACGGATCAGGGGTTTCTGGGGCGGGGGAGGATGAACGAGTGGAGCACAGTGTTTTCAGGGCAGTGAAAATACTCTGCATAATATCATAATGACGGATACATGTCAGTGTCATTATACGTTTGTCCAAACCCACAGAAGGTTCCCCACTGAGAGCGAACCCTGATGTAAACTGTGGACTTCGGTGACACTGATGTGTCGGGGTAGACGCATCAGCTATAACAAATGTCCCACCTGGGGGGTGTTGATCGTGGGGGAGCTGTGCGTGTGGGGGCAGAGGACATACGGGCGATCTCTGTACCTTCCCCCCATTTTGCTCTGAGCCTGAAACTGCTCTAAAAACAATTGTCTTTAGAAAAGAAAGACAGAAAGAAAGAGTTTCCAGTTATTTCAGGAGGTGAGAATATTTTGCCCAGCTTCAATCTTCACAGTTAGGCAAACTTTCTTAGGGATTTAGAAGTTGGCCAAACGACATTTCCATCCCTATCTCTGTCTTTTCTTCAAACTTTATTTTAAAAACTAAAAGAAACAAATGTTTAAAATATATCATTCTCATTTTGTTGAAGAAATCCACATATAAAATCACAGTCTTAATAACATGAAATTATTCATAAACATGTTGAGTGACTTTAGCAGTAACTTGATTTTCTACCAGGAGCGGTTGGGCCCGTGCTGACCTGTTCTCCTGCGTTGTCACCGTATCAGCTGTCGTCACGGTGCTCCAGCTCTTCGCCCAGTTTGGCCTTAGAGTTTGTCCCGAATCTTATCACAGTGTGTTACGTAAGTGGGAGCATAAATCAAGAAGGAAGGGTCTGACTCTGTCCACCTCCCACTGATCAAGGAAGCAGCTTCTGTGCGGGACCCTCGTCCACTGGCAGCTGACCCCGGGGGCCTCAAGCCATCTTCTGGTTTCTCCTTGAAGGAAGTCATTGTGCCTGTCACTCGGCTCTCAGGGGACACCTTTCTTCTCACGGAATTGGGATGCAGGTGGTCTGAGCCAGGTTCTGAGAAGTTAGGTGACTGGGCTGTGTGCTTATGAGCATTCCGTGGATGGAATTGTCTCCCCCAAACTCGTTTGTTGAAACCCTAAGTCCCAATGTGACCGTATTTAGGGACAGGGCTTTGGGGAGGTAATTAAGGGTGAATGAGGCCATAAGGGTGGGGTCCTAATCCAATAGGATTGGGGGCCTTGCAAGAAGAGGAAGAGAGATGTCGCTCTCCACCACACACACACGAGGAGAGGCCTTATGAGGACTCAGCAAGAAGGCAGCCGTCTGCAAGCCAGGAAGGGGGCTCTCACCAGAAACCAGACCCCCTGGCACCTTGACCTCAGCCTTCCAGCCTCCAGAACTGTGAGAAAGTCAATTTCTGTTGTTTATCCCAGTCCGTCCATGGTATTTTGTCATGGCTGCCTGAGCTAAGACAGGGCAGGAGCTGAAAACCATAAGCTGCCAAGAAGGAAATGGGATGAGGTTGAGGGTGCGGAACCAGCCGGTCCGTCCGCCTCGCTGATGCCGTGTCCCCCGGCACCCTGCTCCCTCCATCTCAACACCGTCTCCTGATTTGGTACCGGGCAAAGTGTGTTTGAAGAGTGTTGAAAATGGAGGAGGAGTGAGCTGTGCCGTGATTGGTCCAAAACGGACACTTTTTACACAAGCTTCAGGGAAGCCGTCCTGTGCTGTTCCTGAGAGGTTGTGAAAGAATAAGAAAATATCCGAACGGACAACTTGGAAAACAACAGGATTTGTTCTTACAATAACCCCAGAACACGAGAGGCCGTGACCACAGGAGTCACGGATCCCGGGAGCCCGGGCATCTTAGGAAAGACCTGCTGTTGCTGTTAATTTCCAAGTTTCTTCTGTTATTGAACAGTTATTTGAAAGTCTCGGTTAACTGCATCTCGGTAAGATCACGCGGGCTGTGCAGTTGTTGCTGGTTTGGGATTTCCGGCCTCTGATTTTCCTCTGGGAACGCCTCACCCTGGGCTTCTGTGTGGCCGTCTGCATTTAGCGTGATCTCTGGAGGGATCTTAATTCTGTCGTGCTTCCAGGGAACTTGAAGCGCTTCCCCAGTTTACCCATCCCCTTCCCATCTCATCCCGTGGTCTCCAGTTCACTTCTTCTCCGTGGCCCCAGCGGCGGCTCCGTGGGGCTGTTTCCTGGCCGTGCGTTGGTGCCGCCTGCCTGACCCCCTTCAGGATGCTGCCGCGTGTGTCAGGGATGTGCTGTCCTCTGGGGCTGCAGGTGACCTTCTCCCGCACGCGCTCCACAGCGTGTTTATTAGGCTTCTGTTAGATTTTCCCTCATTTGTCCTTGAACAAGAAGAGCCCCAATCTGATCTTTATTCACTGGGTGCAGGATGGGTGCCTGCCTCCTTCCCTAACGAGGCAGGGATGGCACGTCTCCATCTCCTGTTGAGGGGGTCAC